GAGTTGACCTGCCTGAACTAGCTTGCAGGCTTCGCTCCATTTTTGGTGAGTTTTATTTTGTTTCTGTCCACTTTGATATGCAAGGTAAAATTACAGTTTTTGTCTATAGTCTAGTGAAGAGGGAAGTTGTTGTTTCTGGTTAAACAAAAGGTCTATGTCTGCATGAATCCTTTCCATAATGTTGTCAGACACTTAAAATAACAGTCTGAGCCTCAGTGGCAAAAACAAGAACTGTTAGGTACTTTGATGGGCACATTTGTCCCCAAGGAAATGTTAATGATTGCTTGAAAGATGGTGGAAAGACTAACTAATACATTTTCGGTTTCATTTTGTATTGTTATTTTGAATTGTGATAATAACACGTTATGCATGCCTGTGATTGGCTGTCTATCTCAAGTTTTACTTCTTTGCAACTCAAGTTTCATTACAGTACAACCAACCCTTCATTTGGAAAGGCTCAGCGATTTATAACTAATGGGTAAAAACATGGGTAAAAACATGGGTAAAACATGGGTAAAAACATGGGAACTTATCCCATACCTACCTACATATATGTATTTTTTCTTTTCGCTGTCTGTCAATCCCTGAGTCATTGGGTTTCAAACCATTATTTGAAATGTTTCAATTCCTCTCCTCCTCTGAAAAGCTGTTGTGGGAGACGCATTTGGGATTCAGGACTTTCAATTTGCATCATCACAATGTTTGTGTCAGTAAGGAGAGTTTCTGACATCAAGTAGTGGCACCATGGACAAAGACACACATGAGTATTTTAGATCCCATTCACGGTCACTTTAACATTTACTAATGTTGACAGCTTCACTGTTGGTTTGACAGATGGCTCTATTCAGCATTTGGATGAGACTTCTGGATCCCCAGATGACTATATGATTAGCAGAGAAGTGTGAGTCATCGGGCACAGCATCTCCAATCCTTCAAGAGAGAGGGAACTCTCTTTGACTTTGTAGTGATCCTCCAAGAAATCCTAGACAAATTGGCTAAAAGAACCTCTTAGTGTGGTGCCAATCCTACAAGTGAGCACCTGTTGCAATTACTGACTCAAAAGCACCCTTGCCTTAAAAAGTAACAAACACACTTTTTTTTAATTTAGTAAATTATATTTACAGTCACTTTATTACAGGGTTCATCAGATTGTATATTATCAGCACATCTGAATTAAATTAATATTTGTATCAAAGCATGTAAGTGGATTATCCCCCACTAATTTAATAGATTTTGAATGTTAACAGCTAATACATTAAGCTAGAATACTGAATAAAGTTAGCAACAGTCTGATAAAGCTAATGCTATATCATCCAGCGTTGTGGAATTAACCTGAGTGAAAAGGCTTCTTGACACAATTTTAAATGGATGGTTGGAAGTAAAATATCAATAAAAATAATATTGAGGTATGTAATATTACAGTGTTTAGGTGGTGATATGATGATATTTATTTTGGAGTACGAGTTATATAATAAAGTTAAGACTATAAGTAATTATTATTATTATTATCATTATATATTTTTGTGATATATTGTGGTAGATTTACAGTGCATGTTTGAAACTTCTAAACGGTAAACAGAAACGTAACATAAGGGTTGAGTGTTTTTTGGTCTCTAACCCTTTCTCCTCTGTCTTTCTCTTTCTCAGCACAAGAATCACATGGGCATTCAATAGAGCCTGAGGACAAAATCCTCACCCTGCACCTAGCATCTCAAGTGCCTGAGTTCTGCAGGCCTTTCCCAGGTCCTTATTTTTAATAAAGGTGAAAAAGTGAAAATACAGTGTCTGAATATGGTAAAGATTGCTTATTTCAGAAATTTATTGTGGTAAATAAGTATACATAAAAGACAAAAGATACTAATATAAAATATTATATATTTCAGCATAAGAGAAAGTTCTGCCTTTTGCATACAAAAATGTAAAATATAATTGTTTTGAATTTGAAAGCTATGTATCAATGTATTTATTAATTTAAATATATTAATTATACACTCCCCTCCAAAAAGGGTTTGGGTTTGACATTAAAAGATGAATATGAGACAGATCAACATTTCAGCTTTTATTTCAAGGTACAGTATTTACATCTGGATCTGATACATGACTTGGAGGATAACATTATTTGTAACGGAACACCAACTTTTGCAAATCCTTTGCTTGCAATAATTGCATCAAGCCTGTGACCCATTGACATCACCTTTTGCATTATTTTTGTGTGATGCTTTTCCAGGCTTTCACCGCAGCCTCTTTCAGTTGTTGTTTGTTTTGGGGGGTTACTCCCTTCAGTCTCCTCTTTAGCAGGTAAAATGCATGCTCTATAGGGTTTAGGTCTGGATATTGACTTGGCCAGTCTAACACCTTTCACTCCTTTCACTTCTTGCACCTGATGAACTCCTTTGTTGTGTGTATTTGGGTCATCATCTTGCTGCATAATGAAGAATCTCCCAATCAGTTTGGTTGCATCTTTCTTCAAATTGGGTGTGTAGACTTCTGAGATCATTTTGCTGCTGCCATCATGTGTTACATCATCAATGAAGATTGAGTGCGTCCCAGAAGAAGCCATGCAAGCCCAAGCCATGACATTACCTCCACTGTGTTTCACAGATCAAGTGATTTCAAGTATATAAGCTCAAACATACAAGTTTAAGATCATGAGGAGATCCTTTTTTTCCCCAAACATTAGCCATTCCATCACTTTGGTAAAGATTAATCTTTCAGTCCATGTAACTTTGTCCCAGAATCTTTGAGGCTATTGTTTGTGCAATGGCTCTGATTGATTTTCACCCATAGACAGCTCTCTGGTTTTCATGTTGTTTACACCTCTAACTATAAATGGTCTGCACAGGCAAAACCCAAATCTGAAACTGAGCATAGACATTCAACGCTATTTGTTGTTTGAATAATCAATGTAATAGGACACACCTGGGCAACAAAACACAACAAAACACAACAATGCTTTTGCTCACATGACGAATGGATGAGTTAAAACAAAAGGTGCTATCAGTTGTGTATCAGATCCAGATGTAAATACCTGGAAATAAAAGCTGAAATGTTGATCTCCTGTCTCATTCATCTTTTGATATCAAACCCAAATGTCAGTCTACAGCAAAATTAAAGGAATTGTCCTCACTGTTCCAATACTTTTGGAGGGGAGTGTATATTGTTATACACGTTATATTATAAAATAATTTTATAATGAAATGTTTGGTATACTCATACTTCAGTTATTGAATGACTATTTTCTCAATTTCTCAGTTTAATATATATAGATGTATAAGAATTGTAAACAGAACACACTGCTGCTAGTCCAATGACCTGTTGTGCAGTCAGTTGACAATTAATGGCCACTTGTCAGTTGTTTCCTGAAAGTCATAAATATTAAATTTATCATTAAATTATCAAGATTACTTTTATGTGTATTTAATCTGATCTGAATTTAGACATATTCCTTCCCTTTCCCTCCCTCTAAATATATCAATAAACATTAGGATGTGATTGTTTTTAACTGTACAAGTTTAAAAACATTCAAAAACAAATACTTATACTTACTTAACACAAATAAAGTACTAGACAACAGCAACATGCTCTTTTGTTATTGTTAGCGTTAAATATGTCAACAAGGCAGGTAACAGCTGTTCATACGAACCCTCAAATGTTAGTGATTAAAAAACAACAACAACAACAACATATTACTGTAATTATATCCACATATTGGGGTGACATATAGGCAAAATCTTGTAAATCAGTGCATTTATTGACTACTAATTGCCAAAAACTGCAACTGTGTGCCTCATTGTTATGCATTTAAATTGGCTGCCAAGGACTTCAAGGAACTATCTGAAGGCTACGTGAGTCACGTGACGCTGAAGCATTTTGAACATCTGTTGTCGCGACTCTTATATCTTAATGGCTCTGGGTGCTACCGCTACTGTAAACGAAATGTGTAAATATATGTAAGCAAATAGCACTTTCGGAAGCCGCTTCATCTATCCATCCATCCATCTATCCATCCATTAATTATCCTTTGCAGGAGGGCCCGGAGCCGATCCTCGGCAGAGTACAACTTGGACAGGTTGCCAGTCTTTAAAAAGGGCTCACCAGTAGGGCTAAATAGTGTATTTGTTGGGGCTTATTTTCAGTGGCAGATCAATCCACATTTGGTTCTCTAGTGAGTACTTGGAGCAGTAGGACAGTGTATGTGGGATTAAGTCTAAATAAACCATGTCAGTCCACATAAGAAAATACCAAAGTCAGCACAACTAGGAGGGAATAACAATACAAACTTCTGGGTATTGTAGACTCAGAACCTAAAGGCGGATGCCAGGGTGGAGGTGAGCCTTTTGAAACATGCTTATGAAAAGCTGCAGTGGCAGTGGCAGCAAGTGTCACTGTAGTCGAGTGTTGCACTAAATTATGAATAGGGCATTATAAATTCCTCTAAACCTGTATGTGGATTTTGCAGAGACATTTATTTTGAGAGCAACACATAAACACCTCTGGTGTCATTTTTCCTACTTCTTCTACGTTTTCCCAGGGAAGGTACACATGTTTTCTCCGTTTACTGCCAGAACAGAACAGTGTGAATTGGGTGCCCGGTTAGCTCAGTCGGTAGAGCTGGCGTCCCATGTACTGAGGCTGAGTCCTTGCTGCAGTCGACCCAGGGTTTGAATCCGACCTGCGACCCTTTGCTGTGTGACATCTCCTCTCCCCCTGCCCCCCTTTCCTGTCTGTCTTTAGCTGTCACTATCAAATAAAGGCAATACAAGCTCAAAAAATACTAAAGAGAAAGAACAGTGTGACTTGAATGTACTGATATTTTCATTTCTAATCAGAGCAAAGCTTATCAAGGCATGTGTATGGCAATTTGCAATGCTTGGGTGTTGTGACCATGGTGGCTAGCGCGGACCATTTAGCGACTCTGTTCTTACACACAGACAGCATTTATACAAGAAAGACTCTGTGAAAAAAATCTGTGAAATTAAAACTCCTGGCACGGCGTTCTTCGCCTCTTTGCCCTTTTCTCTCTCGTCGCTCACCTCGCTCGCCCACACCGGGTGATAAGTTTTGGACCTCGGTGTGGCCCGACCCACCAACGACACACGACAAAGGATTATAGCGCGGCATAAGAGCCTGCTTTTTCCTGCAATCACTGGTCAGCGCACTGCTAACGGGAGTCAACATCTGCAGCTTTAAAGAGAAAGTCTGCCAGCTGACTTTACCGGAGCAACGCGACGTTACGCCAAGTCGTTAACTCTGCAAAGCAACTAGCGAAACGCCTTTCCTCTTGAGAGAACCACAACTCTGATCAGTCTGGCTCACAGACCGCCAGCTGATCCAAGCAGCTCACGGGCAATTCTTCTTCTTCTTCTTCTTCTTCTTCTTCCGGCTCTCAACGAAGGCGGACGCATCTCTCTCTCCCTCCCGTCTCCCTTATCTCTCCTGCTTTGCTTCTCAAGTCTTGTCCTGTCTTGTCTCTAACTTTTAG